TTTCGTAGACCACAGTGCTTAAATCAAAAATAGAAATTTCAGAAAATGTAATCTCATTAACCTTAATCTGTTCTTCTTTGCTATTTTCTTTTGGAAAGTGAAATTTAAATCTCCTACATTAATGTAATGCACGATACTTAATGACGATGGCTCTCAGTGTCTAGTACTTTTAGAGCTCCTGTCTAGAGTGGTAAATGTGTGAGTGTGTGTGTATGAGAATTTTTTTTAATTTGTATTTATTTAATGATACTAGGGTTGAACCAAGGCCTCATGTGGTAGGCATGCTCCTATTACTAAGCTACGCCTAAATTCCAGTGTTTTTATTTTGTGTTTGTATGTATGCATGTTTGGTGCATGTGTGCAGATATATGCCCATGTGAGTGCATGTCTCTGTATGTAGAGGCCAGAGGACAACCTTAGCTCTCATGTCTTAGGCACCAACCACTGTTTTCTTTGTAGGCATGGTTTCTTACTTGCTTGGAACTTGCCAAATAAGTGAGGCTAGCTGATCAGTGAACCCTGGGGATCTTGCCTGACTCTGTCTCTGATATAAAGTTAAAGCCTTCCTTTTTATTTAGACAGAAAAGGGGAGATGATGTGGGATTCCGCTCTATGCTGTGAATGTGTTTTTATTACCATTGATTAATAAAGAAGCTTTTTCGGCCAATGGTTTAGCAGAGTAAAGCCAGGCAGGAAATCCAAAGAGAGAGAGAGAGAGAGAGAGAGAGAGAGAGAGAGAGAGAGAGAGAGAAGGCGGAGTCAAGGATGTAGATGCCCAGGGAGCCAGACACCATGGAGCGGCTCAAGAAGTAAGTGGTAACAAGCCATGAAGCTCATTGTAAAATATAAATGAATAGAAATGGGTTAATTTAAGATGTAAGAGTTAGTTAATAAGAAACCTGAGCTAATAGCCAAACAGTGTTGTAATTAATACAGTTTCTGTGTGATTATTTGGGTCTGGGCAGCTGGAAAACTAATGAGCAGTCTCGACTTAACATGTCTCCATAGTGCTAGGATTTAAAAGGTATATCACTACACTCAGGTTTTTTCTCACTTAGGTTTTGGGAACCCATCACAGGCAAGCACTTTGCTAACTGAAGCTCCTCTCCAACACCTGATATTTTTGTATTTATTGTAGAAAATTAGCACATTATACACACATGCACATGTACAGTATCATTCTGCTGTGTAGTTAAATGTAGTAAAGGGACAGTGACAACTTTAAAAATGAGTCATTTTACAAACTAGTTGAAATGGTAAGTTTTGCATAGTATATTTTGTATTTATTTAAATTTTTGTGAAGCCATAAGAGACTGAATGTCTGAACATATCAGCATTTTACTTAAGTTCATGAATATTGGTATTAAAATCTTTAGTTTGTTCCATACTCATCATCATTGACTGGTTCATTTAAAGGACCAAGTTTTTGTTTTGTTTTTTGTTGTTGTTTTTCGAGAAAGGTTTTTTAGTAGCTTTGGAGTCTGTCTTGGAACTAGCTCTTGTAGACCAGACTGGCCTTGAACTCACAGAGATCCACCTGTTTCTGCCTCCTGAGTACTGGGATTAAAGGTGTGTGCCACCACCACACAGCATACCAATCAATTTTTAATATTTGTTGTACATATTATTTTGTTTATAACATAGATTTCTAAAAAGTGTTTATTATATGTGTGTGTGTGAAAGTATTAGTATCTGTGTTTGTGAACTTGTTAGCATGTGTGGAGGCCAGAAGATGGTGTTCAATATTATAGTCTCTCCCTAATTCTTATTGATATACTTTGTATATATGCATATGTATGGGCCTGTGCGCATGAATATAGTGACCTCAGATCTCTGGGGCTGGAATTAAAAGTGGTTGTGAGCCTCTTGGTGTAAGTGCTGGAACCAGACTTGGTTGGACGAAACTAAAGGTCCTTGTCAGGTCAGTTTCATAATATGAAGTGAGGGTCTTAGAGTCTTTTAGTTCATAGACGAGGGAACCGATACATGGTGGAAAGGAATAGGGGAAGTGTCTTTATTTGTGTTGCTATACTACCACACCACTGACTGGGCAACTTATAAAGAACATGAATTGATTTCTCACCATTATGGAAGCTGAGAATTCTAAGATGAGTATCCTGGCAGGGTCCTTGCCTGATTGCTGCTTCCTGCAGAGAGGAGGAATGCCTTGTGGTGTGATGGATGGTAGAAGAAGAAAGGACAAGATGAAGACTCTTGTGAAAGCCTTAATCTCCCTCACAAAGAAGAGCTCCATGACCTGATCACCTCTTACAGCCACCCCACCCATCCTCCCCTATCAGAGTGTCAGGGCCTGAATTTTGAATTTTGTCTGGGCAGAATTCGGACTGTAGCGGGAAAGGAAAACAAGCCAAGGTTGAAACTTTTTGAAAGTAAGGCATTTCGTTTGTTTGTTTGCTTGCTTTTGGTTTTCGTTCTTTTTTTTTTTTTTCCTTGACAGGATTTCTCTGTAGCTTTGCAGCCTATCCTGGAACTAGCTCTTGTAGACCAGGATGACCTTGAACTCATAAGAGGTCTGCTTGCCCCTGCCACTACCCACTTTTTTTTTTTATGTCAGTAGTGAAGTATTTATAAAAATATTTGGTAAGGCTAGTTGTTGTTGTTGGTGCACACCTTTAATCCCAGCACTTGGGAGGCAGAAGCAGGCAGATCTCTGGGTTCAAGGCTAGCCTGGTCTACAAAGTGAGTTCCAGGATATGCTTCAGCTCCAAAGCTACATACAGAAACCTTGCCTTGAAAAACCAAAAAAAGAAAAAAGAAAGAACGAAAAAAGGATAGATTTGGCAAAAAGACTAGAAACTTTTGAAGCTGATACTGGTTTTCACATTCCATAGATGGTCAAATATTGATCCACTTTTTAAAAAGTACAACTCAGAGAACTGAACAAGTAGCATAGTTCTTCTTTGAGTATATTTGGATTTTGAGGTTTTTATATAGCATACTAATTTCATTATTCCCACTTGGCTTACTGCATGTGTGGAACAATAGTATTTCTATTTAACAAACAGTAGCCAGACTTAGAAAAATGGATGCAGGATCTTCCTACCTGTATGACTGCCCTGTCAGTTGATGCTCTGCTACATGAAGAAGATAAAGGTAACTAGGTTAAGTCTTTAGAGAAGTTTTTCTTTGTTGTTATTACATTTATGTGTGTGTGTGCGTGCGTACATACAGAGGCCTTGGTGCGCAGGTGGTGTCAGAAGACAGCTGGGACAGTTGGCTCTGTTGTCCTCGGCATCAAGTGGTCAGGCTTGGTGAGGCGTCTGTACCCACTGAACTCTCTCGCCAGCCTCCTAAAGAAGTGCTGGTAACAAGAACTTCATCACCTGAAAGTTTAAAAAACACATGTATACAGTTAAAAAATAGCCAGTGAATAATTTAGATAGTAGTTATTTAATGTTTTAAAATATTTTTAATTTTTAAAAATTTATGTGTATGAATGCTTTACCTGAATATATGTCTGTTTACTGAGTGCCCACAAAGGCCTGAAGTGGGCAATGAATCTTCTGGATATGGAGTTATAGATGATTGTGGGTCACCATGTAGATACTGAAAATCAAACCTTAGTCCTTTGGAAGAACAGCCAGTGCTCTTAACTGCTGAGCTATCTTTTCAGCCCCAATTTTTTTTATTTTTTACTTAAGTATACTTATTTTTGAGTTTCACTAAAACAACATTTATTAAATTAATAGGATTTGGTCTATCTCTGTTATAGAAAAATATTTCATGTATTTTCCAACTTATAAATATCACAAACTTTTAGTTTAGAATATTCTGCTTTAATTTCATTAGAGGTTAGGTTTTTAGTTTTGTTGGGTAGGATATAAAATGCCTTTGTGGGTTATGCAATGAGCAATTTTGATTGAATATATTTTAGAGTGTCAGTTTTCTCTTTGTTCATAGTGTGAAAGTTACATATTCTTAAAAAACTGCTTCTTTTATTCTGAAAGGCTCAATTTGGTTCAATCACAGGTACAGGCAGTGATCAAGACTGTTTTTGAGTAGTTCATGTTTTTTTATATCAGTCTAATAAGGAGTTCAGATATGCTTATTACTTGGTTTTATTTGAACATTTAGAGGAATTAAGAAATTGCCCACGAAGGCAGTAGAGTAGAAAATACAGATTGACTGATAGTCCATTAATTAATTAGCAGTTTGGTGCTGGAGATCCAACCCAGGGTCTCTCACTTGTAGGAAAGTGCTTTCTCCAGGTTTTGTTTGTGTTTGAGGATCAAAGATAGGCTATGATATTTAGGGCTTTCTGACCCAGATCTGTTGATGTGTACCGAGGCTTCAGGTGTTACAGTTAAATTGAACTAAAGCTGAACTTTATTCTTGAAACTCAATAGTTGTAAGTTGTAATAAGAGTACATATTGTTTTATAACTTCTGTTTCATATTCCTCTCATAGAGTCCCATATGATTTAGCTGGATTTTGTTATTTAGTTACTTGCTTTTATATTTAAAAAACAAAACAAAACCCCAAACTCAGAGTAGGTTTAAACTCTACAAATTGCTACTACAGAACAAAAGTGCTGACCAAGATGAATCGGGCCCTGTAATGTGTACTGAAAAGAACCCTCCTCTCTCTCCCAGTTTGAAGAACAAGCACTTTCCTTGCCAAGGAGGACTGACTTTAAATGGACCAGCTGTCCATATTGGGAGCATAGGGTTGCTAAGGTGACCATGGCTGTTTAGAGAAGAATGCCGCTGAGAGGGCAAGTTCTTGATGTGTGAGCTGAGGGAAAGAATGTGGTGTGATTGTGCATCATTCCTCGTAATCACATGCTCACAAAGTGCTGTGTGGGCGGCATGCAGAAGCACAGGGCTCAGAGCCCACGTTGGTGTGTGTTTAACCATCTTGTTTTTGTGTGAGCCAGAAACTTAGAGTCCAGAAGGAACATGTCTCGTGTGTGTGTGTGTGTGTGTGTGTGTGTGTGTGTGTGTGTACTTTGATAGTGAATGAAATTAGAGTAAATTTCTTTTGCTTGATGACATAAACTGTAATTATATCCAATATATAAAAAGTATTTGACATAAATATTTACTTATTCCATCTCATCCTTTTTAGTAATGAATACAGTGTTGATAAGTTCCCAGTTTAATGATGTGTTCCTTGCAATTGTGTGTATTTCTTTGACTTAACACTTTAATCAGAATTATTTGAAAGCCTCCTCCCCACTTTCTCTGGTGTAAGAACAGCCCTCCAAACTCAGCCTCACAAGTGGGCTGGACAGCCAGCTTTTCCTACAATGCCTGTCTTAGTTGTCACCCCTCCCTCTCCCCAGCTCTTTTATTGCTCTTTCCAAGGAAGATCTTTTCTTGTTTTTTGATTGTTGTTTGCTTATGTTTTACTTTTCTTTTTTGGGACTGGATCTTACTTTGTAGTCTGTAGGCTGACCTCAAACTCATGACTCCCCAGCCTCAACTTTCTGAGTGCTAAGTTTACAAGTGTGTACCACTTTGCTCAGCTAAGGAGATCTCACCTTTGTGTATGTGTGTTTGTGTTTAAGACAGTCTTTCATTGAACATGGAGCTTGCCATTTTGGCTAGGCTGGTCAGCCAGTGGGTCCTGGGAATATTTCTGTTTGTGTTTTCCCAGTGCTGTGGCTATAGGCACATGTTCCATTCCCAGCTTTTAAGTTGGTACTGGGATCTGAACTCAGGTCTTTTCGTTGTATAGCAAGTACATTACCCACTGAGCCATTTCCCCAGCCCCGTGACATCGTCACACATTGTTCATCCTCTGAAGCATTTGCAGACAGTGAAAAATGCAGTGACCAAGTGGGAGCTGGAGGGGTGGGTGACTATTGCTTGGTTCTCTTCTGGAGAATTGGAATTCTCAGACCCTTTGCAGTCTACCACGGGCACTGTTGCTCCTGCATATATGTAGACACGGACCGAAACATGGATTGTTTTGATTTTCCAAATAGTTCTTTCCAAATCTCTACAGTAATGACTGGTATTTGTTGTTGTTTTATTTTTAATGAGATGGTGTCTTACGTGTCCAGGCTTATCTCCAACTTGGTGTGTTCTATAGATTGTTTTGAACTTCTGATCCTTCTCTATCTCCCAAGTGCTGGGATTACAGGTGAGTGCCACCATGTTCTGTATATGTGGTGCCACAGATTGAATCTATGGCTTCACACATGCTCAGCAAGTGGTCTAGCAGTGGAGCCCCACCCCATTCCATTAAGATATCTATTGTAAATGAGGCACAAAAGTAACATTAGGGTGTGAAGTAATTTTAAGAGTTACAGTTCTGTCAGCCTCATATTTATTTTTAAGTCAGGTCTTCTTATGTAGCTTCAACTAGAAATCCTCCTTCCTCAGCCTCCGAAGTTTCCACAGCACCTGGCTTTTGATTTTTCTTAATTAGATAGCCTACTTGATTTGACAGGTTTTTGTTTGATTAGTTTTGTAATTGTAGAATGTGAAGGGTAATTAAGGAATTAAAATAATTTGACCTCTAAGTTCATTTGGCTGCTTGACATTTCACAATAAGCCTTGATAACGTTTGATGCTACCCCACAGAAGCAAAGTGAGTCAGTTCACATGCACCTGCACCCCACAGCAGCCCTTCGTTTCCTTGGAGTCAGATGTGAAGTTGTTTTCCCTTCATGGCTCATCCTAAGAAAGAAGTCAAGTTTTCATGAATAAGCAGTTTTGTTTCTTTATGTTCTGCTTTTCACTGGTCTGTCTAGTCCTGAACCTTTGCTTACAGAGGTGTGTCTTAGAGATCTGAGAGCTCAAGGCCAGCCTGACCTAGTGGTGAGTTCTAGACCAGCTAGACAACTACACAGACCCTTTCTCTAAACAAACAAACAACTAAGTAAACAAACAAACCATCTTTAAAAAGAAAAAAAAAAGAACTGCTGAGTGTGATGCCTACGCCTCCACTCCCAGCACTCTAGAGGCCAAAGGGTCAGGAGTTTCAGGCAGCTGGACTACAGAGTGAGCCTGAGCCACATAGTTAAGTCTGTCTCAGTCTAGAGCTTCTATATCCCCAGCCCCCTGTAGTGAGATTTAAAATTTTCTGCCTTTATTTATTTTTTACTTTATTTTTTTCCAAGAAAAAGACTATGTTCTAATTTTATAGTTTTTAAATTTTGTTCTCTAAATATTTGAAACATACCCACTAAAACAAATTCTTCTGTAAGAGGAACCAGCGTCCTTTAGGAAAATGGCTGATTCTAGGATTGCGGCAAACAAGAAAGAAGCAAAGGAATAAACCCTACAAAGATGGGACTATGTCAGAAGAGTATAGGGACCAAATGGAAGAGCTCCCAGTGGCCAAAATGAAATCATTTGAGCAACAAAGTCATGTGAAGTCATATTAGATATAACTCTAAGTGTAAAAGAAATGTCCACGGCTCAATACTGGTATAAGTATGTGACTAAATAGAATGAAAACAGGGAAAGACCACTCTCTTCTTGTACAGAAGGATTCCAAATAATTGGTCAGTGCTGCAGATGGAGCTTAGTGGAGAGTGCCGGCCTTGCATACCTTTCAAATGACACTTTCAAAGGACAGTGTTACGGTCACAGTGTGGCCACACCATCTCCTTTGTTGTGCGTGGCTTTCCGGGGATTGAACACAGGATCATATGTAAATAGGTAAGCTCTTTCTCTACCACTAACTTAGAACCTCAGTTGCTGCCTTACACCCATCCCAGTACTGCAGTTGAACCCAGCCTCATGAATGCTCGAGACTGTCCTTAGGGAACTACCTTCAAAGCCCATGTCATTCACCTCTTTCTTTTTGAGATATGATCTTGCTAAAATTGCCCAGGCTAGCCTATAGCAGACTTTCTTGCCCCACCAGCCCCCAAATCATGACACAGAGACTTACTATTGAATGTGAAAGCTTGGCCTTAGCTTAGGCTTATTTCTAATTAGCTCTTATAGTTTAAATTAACCTATTTCTATTAATCTACATTCTGCCACATGACTTGTATGTTTACCTCTCTTCCTGCATGTTCTGCTTCCTGTCCATCTCCTCTGGCATCTCTTCCATGCCTAAATTTATCCCCTCTTCTTTTCTTTCTGCCCTGAAGTCCCACCTAACCTCTTCCTGTCTTGCTTTTGGCCATTCAGCTGTTTTTTTTTTTTATTTGTTTATAAAAATTTTCACTTCCGCCTCTCCTCCCCATATCCTCCCTGTGACACAGGATGTCACACTGTAGCTAGGCTGGCCTGGGACTTACTGTGCAGCCCATGTTGGCTTCAAACTCATGAAAGTCCTGCCTCAGCCTCTTGACTGTTGGGATTACAGGCTTACGCTTCTGTGCTGGCCATAAATGCATATTTTGGTTGTTAATAATGTTATCTATGTTCTTCCATTACAACAGCAAATGATCCATGTAATATAAGATGTTGATAGTAGAGAAAGGTGGGAGCAGGGTGATTCCTCAGCACCACCCCTCAGTGTTTTTCTAGTATTAAACTACGCTTTTTCCGAGGATTTTTTCATTCTAAAAAAAAATGTACCACATACTTTTTGAAAACCATATTTTAAATAATATCATACTCTTGAGCAGCTCATGTTTTTAGCAAGTATAGCAAAGGAGTACTTTGCTTGAGGGATCGGATAAATGATTCTTGCAAAGAAGCCCAGTATTTGGCTATTTTTGTGGCCCTCTGAAGACATGCTCATAAAAGTTAGAGTTATGTTGTTGGTTTTTTTAAATCTTAACTCCTTTAGGACATTTCAAGTTATTTTGTTTGTTTTTTGCTTTTGAATCTTCAGATTGATCAAAATTCTCATAAAATACTGACTATATCTCACACTGTAATTTTTTTTGCCTGTTTTTATACTGAGTTTCTGTTTCTGTTTATAGCTTAACTTGTAAAGAAAGACTGCAACATTAATGTTATTAAGTCCACTCTATTCTAGTACAAAAGTTGCACTGTGTTGTAATTTAGATGGGGCAGTTTGGGTTTTAATCTATAATAACTTTTTGTACAAATTTTTCCTTATTAGAAATAATGTTAATACAGCTTTAGTAGTTTAAAGAGGGATACTGATTTCACATAAGTAACCTTTATTTTTCAGAATAATTTTGTATTAGGCTCTTAAATGCTGTGGTTATTCTTTTGTTAATAAGCAGATATCGCAGAGCCGTGGAGGAGGAAAACAGTGCTCACTCCTTCCTAACTCGTGGATTTGGGGAAAGGAAGAGTTCTGAATATTTTCCTTAACCACAAGATTTTCTTAGTATTGATAAAGTAAACACATTCATTTCTGGCATTTTAATTAAAGTGTAAGAGCACATATGCTGCCAGTTCCAGTCCTAACAGTTTCAGCCTTATTAACGGGAGACGCTTAGCGTCTTTGCGATGGCTTTACCCTTAAAGTTAGAGAGGAAAGTGGACTTTTATTCACTGATTTATTTTTTCAAATTTTTGAGTAAATTGGTATAAAGAAAACTAATATTAGAAGAAACTGCTACTCATAAACTGTCATTGCAGTCGTTTGTGATGCTCTGAAGTTGCACTTCCTGTTGTGTGTCAAGTGCTCCTGTGTCAGCTAGAGCAACTCTTTCAGCACGCCAAAGGCGCCAGTGCTGGGGTATATGAGATAACGTGATATGCAAAATGGATGTTAACAAATATTTAGCATCTTTAAAATGTTTATTTGTAAAGATTTTTATTTCATTTGTATGAATATTTGCCTGCATGTGTATCTGTGTACCATATGTGTTCGTTGCCCTACAAGAGGGAGTTGGATCCCCTGGTACTGGAATTACAACAGTTGAGAACTGCCCAGTGTGGCATGCTGGGAACCAAACTTTGGTCCTTTACAAGACTAGTATGTGTTCTTAACCACTGAGCTATCCCTGGCTCCAGTATTTAGCACCTTATATTAAAAACTAAAAGATCTTAGCTGGGCGGTTGTGATGCACACCTTCAAATCCCAGCACTCAGAAGGCATTGGAAGGTGATCTCTGTGAATTCAAGACCACAAACGAGTTCCAGGACAGCAGGAGTTGTTTGTTATTCAGAGAAACTCTGTCTTGAAAAACAAAACAGCAATAACAACAACAAAAATTAAAGGATCTTATAGCTTTAGGGCTAGAAATCCAACATGGAGAGTCCTGATAATCTTAGAACACATTCACCCTCTCCTAGGTCTGTCTTAAAACTGAGTGACGTAGCTGGAAGAGGTGACAGCGTGGCTGAGAGCTGTTGACGTCTTACACCAGCGACTGTAGCCATGGACTCTTAGACATTGGGTCACTTGTAGACAGAAGCCAGGTGGCTGTGCTGGAATCCTGTAACATTTATTACTCACAGTCTTGATTGGGGTGTTGCTCTTCACTTTGACAACAGCATGATAAACATTTCTTCTAAAAGAAATTTTGGAATTTTCAAAACATGATTCCCCCATGAACTAGCTGACAGTGTAACAGAAGTAAACATGGAAGACTGTGTGTGTACTGTCTCAGTTAGGGTTTCTATCACTGTGAAGAGACGCTGTGACCACAGCAACTCTTATAAAGAAAACATTTAATTGGGGTGGCTTACTTACAGTTTCAGAGGTTCAGTCCATTATCATCATGGCAGGGAGCATGGTGATGTGCAGGCAGACAGGGTGCTGGAACTGAGAGTCCTACATCTTGCAGGTAACCTGAGCATAGGAAACCACAAAGTCCACCCCCATAGTGACATCCACCCAGACAAAGCCATTCCTCCCAATAGTGCCACTCCCTTTGAAGGCCATTTTCTTTCAAACCACCACAGTATAGTTTTATTAACATTTTCATGTTGCAGAAATTTATAGATAAATTTTATGAATATATGACCTTTTTTGAGACAGGTTCTCCTATATGTAGCCCAGGCTGGCCTCAAATTTAACGCTAATCCTCTTGCCTTAGCATCCAGAGTGCTAAGATTTGCAGGCATGTGCTACCATACCTGGCTAAACACCACTAGTTTTTTTAGGAATTTATTTATATGAGTGTTTTTCATATGTGTCTGTGTACCACATGTATGCCTGGTGCTGAAGAGGTCACAAGAGGACATTGGATCTTCAAAATTCAGATTTATAAAGATGGTTGTGAGCTGCCATGGCCTTGGGGATTGAACGGTCGTCCTCTGGAAGAACAAGTGTTCTTAACTGTTGAGTCACCTCAGCGCAGCATGCCTGTTTAAATAATGTCCACTCTTAAAGTATTAGTTCCCTTAACTAAAGTTTATTTAGAATTTAATATTAGTACAGCATACCAGAAAGAGACGAAAACCTCACCAACATAACAAAAGCAATGTTTGAACAATTCACGGTGAACATCATGCTGAGCGATGGAAGATTAAAAGGTTTTAAAATCAGGAACTAGCTGGGAATGATGGCACATCACTTTAATCCCACCACTGTGGAAACAAGAGGCAGACAGATCTCTGTAAATTGGAGATTTGAGGCTACCCTGGTCTACTGAGTTCCAGGACAGCCAGGGCTACACAGAGAACTCTGCCTTGAAAAACAAACAACAAAAAAAAAACCCAACAAAAATTAAACAATAAAGCGTGACTAGAGGCTAAAAAAGCTTGTAAGGAGGAATGGATGGGCGAGGGGGAGATTGGGAGACTTGGAAGAGAGAAGGGAGGTGGTCAGCCAGGAAAAAATTAATAAAGTTAAAAAATAATGTAAATATAGAAAAGAATAAAATGATAAAAACAGGCTTGGCTGGGGAATAGAGTGACAATGTTTAGCATGTGTGTGGATCAGGCAGAGTTCAGTCCCCAGCCCTGTTATGTACAATTTATTGAAATATATTAATGAACACCTAAATAAATGGAAATAAGTTTCACATTCATTTCAATTTCTTGGATACAACAAAAGTTTTTAAAGGCTAGTGGAATTTCATGATGACTTCCAGTTTTAGCATCCAAACACAGTTTCAGTAGCTGAGTGTAGTGGTGTGCCCTGTAATTCCAGGACTTGGGAGGTCCAGTTGGGTCCTTACATGCTTAAAGGTGTCCGGGGCTGTAGTGAGGTGCTCTCTTAGCTTCTCTTTCCCTCACCAAAGACACTACAGTAAAAGTAAAAATAGGGCCAGGTGGTGGTGGCGCACGCCTTTAATCCCAACACTCTGGAGGCAGAGGCAGGAGGATCTCTGTGAGTTCGGCCAGCCTGGTCTACAAGAGCTAGTACCGGCTCTAATACTACAGCGAAACCCTGTCTCAAAAAACCAAAAAAAAAAAAGTAAGGATAGAAACTGTTTTCAAGCCATGTAGATAATAGAAGATTGAAATCTAGGTTATGTACAGACTGGAACTCAACAATGAAAAAGCAGCTTTGTTTTAAAAAGGTTATGTGTAAAGTCCTTTGAATAGCTATTTCTCCAAAGAAGATATACAAATGAAGAAATGTGTCATTAGAGAATGCAGATTTGAATCATAATGATACCAACTCATAATTATTAGGGTGATTACTAATTTAAAAAGAAACAGTTGGACAGTGGCGGCTCACACCTTTTTACCTTTTTAATCCCAGCACTTGGGAGGCAAAGGGAGACAGATTTCTGTGAGTTCAAGGCCAGCATGGTCTGCAGAGCTGTCACACAGAGAAACCCTGTCGGGGGGCGGGGGACACCCAAAAACATAAAATAAGGGTATAA